ATACCAGCCGGAGCAGCAACCATACGACCTGTCGCAGCCGAGACAGCATCTGCTGCAGCCGCAACGGATACAACAACTCTCGCAGCCGCAACGGAGACAACAACTCCCGCAGCCGCAACAACCTCAGCGCAATAGTGGAGGTGATCAATTGGCAAATGACCTGGAAAAAATAATAATTTGAAAATTATTTTAAATATAAAATATTAAATAATATTGTATATAAATATAAATTACATATAAATATAAATTATATCCTTTTCTTTAAAAAAATAAATTTAATAGTTTTTAATTAATTTAATAAATAATAAATAAATATATTTGATGAAAAATAAATTTTGTTTTTAAATTTTTAAAAATTTTAAAACCTAATTTTCATGCAAAAACAAAATTACTTATAAAATTAAATGACTCGATAGACTTAGGTCTATTGAGTCATTATGTTCTTCAGCTAACAATTATTTGTATAAGATCCTTTACTAATTATTTAATTAACAAACTTCTTAACAAGCACATCGATATGCATACACTTGCTTATTTATTTGTAATAAATATTGGGGATATCATTGATAGGACTACAGAATTTTTAGATTTCTGTACATAATTTAGTCTAGTGGCTTAAAATATGTCAAAAAACCTATCGGTAGTACAGACCCAAGTTCTTATATTTTTAAATTAATTTTATTTAATTAGTTAATCAAACAAGGTTATAATATTATATATAAATCGTCTAAAATAAAATTCTATAATTTTATTTTAATAATATCTTAGATGCAGTAAATTTAATGAAAATTCGTGACATATAAATATCCCAAATTTATCAACGAAATTTACTAATGGTTGTGCATAAATAAGTAAGCGCACATTTAAATTAATTATAATTAATATGTGAATATTCTATTTTTTTTTAAATAATTGTAATAATTAGTGTATTATATTCAAAGTTTATCCTGTACTAAAATTTTTCTGACTTCTGGTATATGATTTTTTAAGATAAAAGGTTTTTCTTTTCAAAGAAAATTAGTTTCTGAACTTTGGCACTCAATAACTTTTGAGTTAATCGACCAATCTATAAATATTATTATATCAAATGAAAGCTTGAAGTGTCCTCTTTCGATTAAGCTAATTTGCAGAAAAATGGTATCTCTGCTTTTAAAGATATAAATTATTTTGTAACAAAGAAAATTAGTTTCTGAACTTTGACACTCAATAACTTTTAAGTTAATCGACCAATCTATGAATATGAATACATCAAATGAAAGCTAGAAGTGTCCTCTTTCGATTAAGCTAATTTGCAGAAAAATGGTATCTCTGCTTTTAAAGATATAATTAATTTTGTAATGCAACCTCGTTTTTACAAATTTTTGCTTTCCATTTTTAAAGAAAATTTGCTCTATACTATATAAAAACTAAGTTTATTTAGAAAACTAAACATATTTTTTACTGTTATATGTCTTTTATTTCATAGTTTTTAATTAAATAATAATGTTTTAATTAATTAAAACTTGAAATAACATCGTAATAAGAAATCGACGCTAACTATATTTTGACATTAAATTTCCCAAATTTATCATCAATGCAAATTAAACTGTTTTGCATTCACAAGTTAGCGCATAATTTAATTAATTTTATTTAATTTGTTAATCGAACAATATATATAATATTAGACATTTATTGGCTTAGAAAAATTCTAGTTTTTTGTTCAAATAATATCTTAGATGCAATAATCTTAATAAAAATTCGACGCTAACTATATTTTGATATTTAATATCCCACATATATCAACGCAATTTCAACTGTTGTGCATGCCCAAGTTAGTTCACATTTAATTTAATTATATATAATTTGTTAATCGAATAAGATATATAATATTGTATATCAATCGTTTTAGAAAAAATTCTAGTTTCTTATTTTGATAATATCTTTGATGCAGCAAGTTTAATAAAAATTCGACGTTAGCTTTTCTTTTGCAGTACTATGGACTTACCAATAACTCTGCAACTGTACATTATGTTTTTCAGTGCCATTTTAATTTTTCAGCGAATTTAATTTAAGATGGTATGCCATCTATTAACCAACTTTGTACAGATTTTTTGAATAATTAATAAAATTAAATTAATTTCGATTTTTTTCAAATAATTGTGCTTATTAGAGTATTGTATTGAAAGTTATTTATATATAAACTGTTTTCTGACTTCTGGGATATGCTTTTTATAAGAAAAATGTCGTTTTTAAAGGAAAATTAATTTCTGAACTTTGACACTCAATAACTTTTAAGTTAATCGACCAATCTATAAATATGAAGACATTAAATGAAAGTTTGAAGTGTTCTCTTTCGATTAAGTTAATTTGCAGAAAAATGGTACCTCTGCTTTTAAAGATATAATTAATTTTGTAAAGTAACCTATTTTTACAAAATTTTATTTTCCTTATTTTGAAGAAAATTTTTTCTATATTATTTAAAAAGCGATTATATTTAGAAAAACAAACATATTTTTTATTGTTATAAGCTTTTTAGTTCATAATTTTTGGTCTAGTAACAAAGTTTTAATTAAATAATATTTGAAAATTACATCTCTATCTTCATCGCAGTACTGCTCCTAAGTTAATCGAACAACCTATACAAAATCTTTCGAATGAGCCATAAAAGAAAAAAATGGTACCTCTAGTTTAAAAGTTATTAATAAATTAGTGACCCCGTCTTTTGGGGCTGATTTTTATTTTTCATTTTTCATACAAATTACATCATTTACACATAAAAGTTGAATGTAGATAGTAAATTAATTCAATTTTCTACTTAATAATGCCTTTTGCTGCATTAAATTTAATAAAATAATAAATTTTTCCTTAATTAAACTATACTGCATTTTTCACGCGGCGAAAAATGTTCCAATTCCATTTTGGACTTATCGTCGACGCTATCTTCACGCACATTACAATAACATACTTTTGTATTTACAGATGCTTTAAGGACAGATGGTAAGCCGAAACAAGTGATCGGGTCGAGTCTGGAAATCTCTTCAAGTCTCTAGTAACAATTCCACAGAAAAATATTCTTTTATATTTTATATATATATAAATATGTAAATATTAGAGGAGTTTTTCGAATAGCAAAGAAAGAAATAAAGTACAAACACAAAAATTTATTTTTTAATTTTATTGAAGTTCGGCTGACCATACAACGCTGTTTCGAGTATTGCCAAGTACTCTTCATCAGTGGTCGTCTTTGGGAATAATCGAATTTTATTTAATTAGTTTATAGTCCGTATATAATTTGTTTGGACTGCAAGTTCCAGGCTTAGAACTCGTGCCTGTCAAATTAGAAGCGATGACTAATCGTGTTTATCCACAAGAAGCCAAGGCTGCACAAACTTTCAATGCTCAAGTTCCAGGTTTTATTGTCACTTATTTTTATTTAATTAGTGACAACAACCAACGCACTTGCCGTGCTTTTTAAATTAGAACGAGCTTATAAACTACAGCTTTATTTTTGGAAACACAAGTTCAACGAATTGAAAGTTTAACTTTTGGGTTTTGCCTATTTCTTTATTTCTTTTCAAAGCTACTCTTTTTGTAGAGACATTTTGTAATGCATATTGTTTTACTTACTACATGTAAAGCGACCATTCTGGTGCTTTTTACAAAGAAGCTATGCTATGTTATTCTACAAATCCGCTTTCGCGGTTAGGAAAAGTTGAACAATATTATATACGGACTATAAACTAATTAAATAAAATTCGATTATTCCCAAAGACCACTGATGAAGAGTACTTGGCAATACTCGAAACAGCGTTGTATGGTCAGCCGAACTTCAATAAAATTAAAAAATAAATTTTTGTGTTTTTTACTTTATTTCTTTCTTTGCTATTCGAAAAACTCCTCTAAAATTTAATAAAGCTTCTTTGTCCCTATACAAAGTAAGTCTAGCTTAACAGCAATACTAATACTTTATTCAAATATGTAAATATGTTATATTGTTTTATGTAAATATTAAAATTTTAATTTTATAAAACATAAATATAAAATTAATTACAATTCATCCAAAAAATTTTTTAATATTTTATTTAAAAATCAATAGCATAGGTAAAATTGAAAAGGTAAGCTAACATGTCAGCGCTGATTGTTGCATTACAAATTTGAAAAGGTGAGCTAACATGTCAGCGCTGATATGTTGCATTACAAATTTGAAAAAGTAATCGAACGATTCAGCGCTTGCCCGCAATGACATGCACGTGTTAAAGTAATTAGGAGTTTCTCTTGAATAATCAGCGCAAGGCATTACCATTCAGCGCTGAAGAAATCGAATACCTCAGCCCTGAAAGTCCCGCTGGGTATAGATAGCAGATTAACTTGGAAAGGCCATATCAAAGCTAAAAGTAATGAAACTAAGCGTCGCTTTAGACAATTGTACTGGTTACTCTGCTCAAAATCAAAACTAACACAGGAAAATAAACTCCTAGTATATAAAACGGTAATCGCACCAATATGAAGATATGGATCCGAAATATGGAGCACAACATGCAAATCTAATATACAAATACTGCAAAGACTGCAATCAAAAATACTTAGGACTATCATCAACGCAGACTGGTACATATAAAACTATGATATTCATCGTGACCTAAAGATATCCTTCGTCTCAGACGTTATCCGTAAAAAAGTAAAAACCCCACGGATAGATTACTCTCCCATCCTAACCCAGCAATGAGACAGCTACAAAATGACGAAGCCACATATAATAAACGATTGAAACGCTTATATCCATCAGAACTACCAATATAATAATTCATAACCATTTAATATGTTAATAGTACAATCCTTAATCCTTAAATTTTATACTATTTAATTAAACCAAGTTTTTATTATTCATTGTTATTAGTTCATACATGTTGTTCTTAACATTGATTTGAATCATTATTTTAATTTCCACTATGTAAAAATATATACTAGATGCCAAATTTTGGAAGTTGTATAAATAAATGGAAGATTTAAAAAAAAAAAGCTTTTATTTAACAGGTATTTTATTTTTAATTTTAACGTTCATAATAAACTCGATAATACAACGTTTTAGAACGCCAAATACTATAACTATTATCAAATTTTATTAAATATACACCTTCACCTGGATATACATGTGAACCTACATAAACTTCATTAAAACTTTCTCGTCTATATATAGGAATTATTATAGATATTGGTGGTTTCACTCCAGATATATCTGTTGTGACGTTGCGCTCATTAGCCAAAGAGCCGCATTCTAAGTCATCAGTCGTAGAAAGATAATCTTCATCAATGAAGTCATCGTCATCATCACTATCACTTACGTGAACCGTTACTTCAGCAGTTATAGGCTTACTCCATTCAAAATAAATACCAAAACCGATATCATAATTGTCTGTTGCAAATTCCCAAAAAATACATTTTCCATGTGCGTTTGTGGGTACTCGAACCTTTAAAAAACAAAAATTTAACGGGAATGATTAAAATTTTCAATAAACTTACTGTTACAGTATCACCGTGACCTATATTTATTACCCCGTCTCCGGCTCCAGAAGCGACTTCCATTTTAAAGTCATTTATATCTGGTCTTGTCCATATTTTTGCGGGATGTATCAACACATAATCATCTTTCCCATCGAGTTGTGGATTATTTTCATCACCTGGTTGCAACGATTTATTATCGATTTTATCTACACAATTTTGGGCTCCAACATTTTTATTTTGTATTCCTTCATTTGTCTGGGTATTCGTATTGGTTTCTTTTCTATTTAATTGGTTTTGTACATATAACTGTTGCATATATTGATGATAGTGTTCTTGTTGTAATTGGCGTATAAGTACTCCTTGTTTTTCTGGGTTTCCGGAAAATTGTTTTTCAGCATACAGCTATAAAATATGAACAATTCAACTATTATATCCAATTTTTTTAAAAAAATTACAATTATTCTTTATCAAAATACATATATATATATAAAAAATAACAATGAATCACACATAGCAAAATTATCGAGGTAATACTGCGTTCAGAGAAAATTAAAAATTACTTTAAATTGTTGATACGTTTGTTTGTTTAATTCATCTTGCAACTCCCTACGTTGTATTTCTTCTGTATAACTTTCTGCAAGTAATTTTTGTTGTTCAAGTTCCATTTTTGTACGTTGAAGATTATCGAGCTCCATTTGACGTAAATCATTTTTTAAAGTTTCTTCCCGATTTTGCTTTACAGCTTCAACGTATGGACGAAAAGCATTGCACATTGAATCCAAAAGATCTATAAAGCCTTCCATTGCCTGTTCACGTGTTATACTTCCTAATAATTGCCAATGCTGTCTACGATCACGGCCAATCACGTCTAAAACTCCAAGGTCAGGAGAACGACTTGATTCAAAAGGACCAAGTGAAGCCTGTTGCTTGAAGGCTATGAGCTTTAGGTTATCGTCATAAGATAAATGTATTGCTTTACCAGAATTTTCTAAAAAAAGTTATTTATATATATACAAATATCAATTTTTACTTTGCAACCTTACGTTTGTAAAATGTAAGGGCAAGCCGATAAAGATCTAACAGAGCAACGCCCCATTTTTCAATCAAATCTCCCATTTCGTATTACTATAATTAGTTTGTCGTCACGGAATTGATTTTAATGGTACTGTATGACAAATTTTAAAGTACCTTACGGACAACAAATATTTATCCCAGAACAGTTGTCGACTCACAACTTGTGGTCAAATAATTTATCTGTATCTAATTTTAAGGCACAAATAATCTCGTCCAAGCCTAATTTTTGTTTTCACTTTTGCTAATCGCAGAACGCAAGAATTCCATGCAATTTTATTTTACGTAGTCTCATACCTATTTATGTGCGTGAAGATAGCATCGACGATAGGTCCAAAATGGAATTGGAATATTTTTCGCCGTATGAAAAATGCAGTTTACTTTAATTAAGGAAAAATTTATTATTTTATTAAATTTAATGCGGCAAAAAGTATTTTTAAGAGGAAAATTTAGGTAATTTTTATTTTTATCTAAATAGTGTAATTTGCATAAGAAATGAAAAACAAAGATTAGCCCAAAATGCAGTCTCGTGTTTATTAATAAGTTTTATTCTAGAGACACCATTTCACTTTAAGGTGCGTCAACTTATTAACGCGGATTAAGAGGAAAGAAATGGAGAAATATTTTTAACGCAGGATTTTAAAGTAATTATTTAATTGGCTGTAACTTAATTAATTATACAATTAGTATGAAATTACAGACATTATTAAATTGAGAATTGATTGTAGTTTATAATGATACAAAAAAATGCATTTATCGGTTATAGTTTTTAAATGAAAAGTAGAAATATTTATAGCAACGTATGTTAAGTAGTACGTTTCGTATTCGTTTATCTCTAAAATTAAAAATGTACAAATATTTAGATATATTTCAAAATATAGCTTGTTATTCTCCTTAACATGTATAAATTCAAGTAATTTCTATGATGTAAGTTTTTACAATTTTATAGCATTGACAGACGAGCACACTAAATTATCATTAAGCAGCCTTAAATGATCATTTTAAAAATACCCTGACAGCCGGTATAAATTATCATTAAGAAGTTGTTGTATGTTTTTTGTTATTGAAAAAGCAAGAGAATTTTATATTCAAAATGGATAAGCAAAAAAAATTAAAGAAACTTGCTTTAATTAAATATAAAATATATCAAAAAATATAAAATATATAAAAATATAACGAGAACTTACATTTACCAATGTTTACAAATATATTTTGTTTACATTTTGACAACAAATAGCTTGAAATTTGTTCCATTTTTTATTTCGTTTCACTTGCATATGCAGCATTACCATTTCTAAAAACCTAAATGACGAATAAATTGGGTTATAGCATTTAAAGACGGGAGCTAAATTTGCTCATTTCAGTTTTAAATGATCATTTATGGTCTTTAAATGACCGAATTTGACCTATTTACACTATCATGAACATGAACAAGAACTTGAAAACCGGTTAGGGCCATGTTATGCAGAGTGTCTCGGGCACGGCATGAGTACAATTGTTGTTGTTTTCAATGCAAATTTTAAATTTGAGAATGAGAGAAAAAAGAATATGGCCGTTCAAACTCCGGCATGAGAGCCGGCGTATTTGTGCCCGGCACTAAGGCAAAACAGTGTTGTTTAGTAATAAATTTTAAAATTTGCGCCTTTTAGGAGCAAACTACTACAATTCTAATACGTTTTGGAGAAAAAATGGCAGTAAGCAACACAGCATTTTTTTTATAAATCGCTAATAATATAATTATTACACTTTTCGATTTTAAAGAAACGCGTAAGTACTGTTAACAATTATTATAAGATAATATAATAATAAATTAGCCTCTCTCTATGTGTTTTTTCATGCGAGTTATTTTTGGTGACAAATTGAAATTGAGCATATCTAAATTTCCTTTTAAATTTAGGTACAACCAAGAAGTAGTAAAAATACAAAATTGGCAATACTGATGTGACACTCTGCATAACATGCATTTTCGGCATAGCCCGAAAGAGCGTAATTTGCCGTGCCCGAGACACTCTGCATAACATGGCCCTTACCAAAAGATGAGAGAGGGAACAGAGTGTGATGTGAGTTCATGAAATTTAAGCAATGAAATTGGTTGTGTTTCTTCAGCTTGACACGCATACATATGCAATGTTATGTTTATGTTTACCTTTTAATGCTAAATACTCTCAATTTCTGTGCTCTGCACTGCCTCACACAAGCATTTTATAAGTTTACACAAAATAAAACAAATTTCACGCTCATGAGAGTTCATGATAGTATAAACTGAACTGACAGTTCATGTTATCGTCAAGTTCATCTCACGTTTATGATAGTATAAATAGGCCCAATGAAAAGGAATTCAATTATTTTTTTGGAAACATCCGTTATAATGATATTTATAATAATAATATTTATAATATTAAATGAAAATAATAAAACATTTTGGAAAATGCTAGTATTTACAAAATTTATTGCAAATGCTCATTATATAATACAAAGAAAAAGTATTCATTTTTGGGTTAAAAGTTTTGTAATACTGAAAATTAATTTTTAATGCAAATAAAACAAAACGTTTTAATAACATTTTTATTTAATATTATTATTTAATATTATAAACATTTATTTAATAAAATTACGTTATAGTTGCTGTTTTCAAAAAACTAAGTGAATTTTTTCATTGGCTAGGCAATATTGTTTTTGAAATTTTTGACACGTGCATAATTTTAAAAATGCATTGAAATACATATTAGCTGACAAAATGCAGCTCGCACACTTTTTTGAACTTTGTTGCTAAATATGTGCAGTAAAAAAAATTCCAAAGAATATCCCATTTAATTAAGCATGAAATTAGAACATCTGGCACATGATTTAAATTGATACCAAGGTTTCCTGGACGGACATCTCAAATCCATAAGTAAAATTCTTTAAACACATACTTAACCTGTTTTATACGTCATTCTTTACTTATTAATTTTACATTTTTATTTAACTATACTTAACAATAAAGTAATAGTAAAAGAAATTTTTGTAAATACAAACAGTTTGCAGACCTATTAGTAGATCGTTCATTATTTGCTTTTGTAATTTCGGCTTATACTGGCAACAGTGTATAGAATCTTTGATAGTGCTTTCCCCAATGAAGGGCAGATGATAATCCAGAATCGTTGCTAAAACAACGCGACCAAAGCAAATGGGGCGATATGAAATTATTTTGATGTATGTGGCTGATCATAAGCTTTACGAATACATTTAATTTTGACAGAATTAATAGCCGCTTAGTTGATGATAGGTTCATATTCTCAATAAACAAAATATGATCACGTGCAAACCATTAGCTGCTGCTATGATGTGTGATGCTACACCACGCCCTTCTCGAGGTGAACGTATTTTGATGTTGATCATTTATTGACATAAGAGAACACCATGAATATTGAGAGGAAAACTCGATAAAACCCGTAATCTCCGGTGTTATTCGACCTGTGTCGATAAGATGAATGACTCTTCGTTAGTATGTCTTTGAACGGATATCTCCCGATAACTGGCGGTTGTAAGATAGCCGTGTCCGAGTACAGCGGATTTCTGCCCGGATCGACATTCTTTTCTCCACAACTTGTAGTTTTGAATTATGAACCAAGAAAAATTTAAATAAAAGCATAAAAGCAAACTCAACAAAATTGAGCTCTTCGAGAACCACAAATCCTAACAAAGTACGTATCGCAACTTCTGATGGTAATAATAGGGCACCATCTAATAATGCAACAATCTCCATGCGTTTTGTCCCCACCGTTGGGGCGGAGTCTCCTACGAGCAGAATCTATAAAGAACGGTAAGCGGCCACTAGATTGCTCAAATGATATGAAAATATTTCGGTTACATCCGATTTTTTAAAGGCTAGAGTAGTCTGGGCAAAATAGCTCGTCAATATTCCCAAGGAGGAAGAGAAGGCGTATTGAAGCGTCAGAACTAATTAGATGAGTCAGCTTCAAAGCCTGATGCGAAAATGGCAAAATTTCGTGGCAATGCCACCACTACTTAGTTGTAGTGGAGGCTAAAGGTCTCCATTACGATGGCGGTCGTTGATAAAAATTATCCTGATGGCACTAATATCCCTGAAAAGTGGAATCAAATCGAGCTCAAGATTGTATTTTTCACAGCTGTTAGTGAATACCATAAACTGTTTGTATTTACCATAAACTAAATAAACTAAAACTAAAAGATGTCACATATTATATTAATGGAAACGAGGAAAAGAAAAAGGTTTAATTAATATAAAATTTATGCTATGATTAATGTGTAAAAAATATGCTTTTAGGTGCTTTTTGGTTGCAACAAGAAAATATCTTAGAGATTTTCAAAATCCATTTGAAATTTCCGGAACCCATTTCTTCAGTTTATATAGGTTTCCAAAGGAGTTACTCATTGAGTTTCTACATTTTATTTAAGGAAAATTTGATATACCTGAGCGCATATCATCAGTGCCAGTACGATTTTTAACCGCTTTGCGAATCTTTGCTTCAGGATCTTATCAGCATGGTCTCCGGCAAGACTTTTTGTGTACATTATCGCAGACATCAGTTTCAAGATATATTACCGAAACAGTAGATATTTTAAATGAAATATCAAAACACCACGTATACTTTCCTGACTTACAGAAGCAAATTAAAATAAACAAGATTTTTATGCGAAGTTTGAATTTTCTGACATTGTAGGTTGTATTGATGGGATACACATCAAAATATCAAAACCGTGAAGAGAGATCGAAAGTGTGTATTATTGCAGAAAAGGTGGCCACTCTCTCTCTCTCTCTTTTCCTTATCTCCCAGTGGAGCATAGGGCCTCTACCATCTTTTTATATCATATTCGGTTATTTGATTCACGGCATATGTCACTCCAGGAATAGTTCGCTTCTCTTCTCTTCTCTGTTTCCATTGGGTCTGCGTAGATTGTGGCCTTTCTAGCGCCATTTACGGCTTATCTCCATAGTAGCAGATGATTGATTTGTAATGGCCCATAGGTTGGTGTTTGTGATGCGGTTGGGCCACCATATTTTTAATATTTGTCGTAAACATATGTTCACGAAAGTTTGTATTATTGTATCAATCTTTCTTGTTCTTTTCCAGGTCTCACAGGCATAGAATAGCACAGACTTTATATTGGAGTTGTAAATACGAATTTTCGTGCAAGTGGAGATTTGGTTAGAGCGCCACACAACACGCAACATGCCAAATGCAGATTTTGCTTTCATTAAACGAGAGTCAATGTCTTCGTCCGCACCACTCTTAGTTGCGATTATGCTACCTAGATAATTAAATGTATCTACGCATTCCACAGCTTCTTTTATTTTAACAACTGGCGAAGAATATGAGCTGTTGC